GAGGTAACATTACAATACATTTCCCTTTACATTCCCTTGTATTACATAACAGTCTTTGAGCTGAGGCACTTTTGGTTCTACAACCATCACCAGTTCTCTTGTTTCTTGCTGTAAACACATTTCGCGCCAAATTAGAAGAGAAAGACAATTATCTCGGAAATCACTCCATGATAATACACAGTGTGAAGACAGCAATAACCAATCCGATGACCACGTTGCTGGCTGTTTCTTGCATTAATGGGAGACATGATGATACTTGTCATAATTACCGACTGCAAACTTAAAAACAGCTAGCCCGAACGTTTCAGTGTGTTGTTAAGAGGGTAGAGCTATGTTTTGTGGTCCTGGCTTCTAAGTGGTCAGTGTAAAAAGATGCTGAACGTAGGGAAATGATTTGTTGATTGGAATTATATGTTGACCTGGCACTTTAAATTAAATTATTAAAGGGCGATGGTCGTCTCGCCGCGCATATCCGACATTTGTGTTGATATTAACATTTATTTTCAAAACAAAACAAAAATTCTATGTTGCCTTAATTTGAAGTTCGATTAACTGTTAATCAAAGTTCGAGTTACGTAATGTGGACGTTCAACAAAAACAAAATATAGGTTGCCCATAACTCGAAGTTCTGTTAACTGTAGTTTGGTTTCACAAAAGTGGGCGTGGTTTCTGAAATTTTTGAAACTCGATGTTTCCGTAACTCGATGTCCGTAACTCGATGTTTCCGTAACTCGATGTTTCCGTAACTCGATGTCCGTAACTCGATGTTTCCGTAACTCGATGTTCGTGACTCGAACAATTCAGCTGGAAAAGTAGAGTTACATATAATTGTCGTACATCCCTGGCATGTACGTTTTGACCCTGCCAAAAAAAAAAAATACCCGATAGCTTGCTCAGCAGATTCGTCGTGTATATTTGACCTTTGATCAGATCCCAGTCACTTATAACGCGAAACAAGACTATTAAAAAACGCTTACATGTACCGGCCCAGCGTACTTGAAAATAGGCCAATTCATAGGAAACGATACGCCGCATTTTGTCTGTGACGACCAAGCTATTGGAGCTCTGTGACAATGTGAAATTATTAAATCGACAGCCTGTGCCTCGGTGATATACAACTCAACTTGAATACAATCGCACACAAATTGGGGAAATATTAAGCGGTTCTTGGCGACCTTTCTTCCCACCTCTATGTGATGTGACATGGCGTAGCGTAGTATGCTGTGATGACAGTTGTCCACGGTGTTTCATCACAGAGATCGCCATTAATCGGTTGATATATTACATGTACATCAAATTGTCCATTTTAGGCGTGGACGGGACGTCAATATTTCACATAGTTTGGGTGTTCAAAAACAGTTACGTAAGATTTAGACCTGATCCAGGTTACATAGATCAATTTAGTAGCAACCAGAACTAGACGTTCATATTTTGGATAAAAAAAAACACATTCGCTCTTTGTGTCACGGGTCAGTTTTCAAAATAAATCTCTCGCCGCCCCACTTTAAAAAAAAATCCGCTGCGTAAGCTATCTTTTCGGTCCAGTCTTACGGAGAATAAATCATATTTAGAGCAAACCCCTAAAACTATTTATAGCTTACGAACCGGGTGACCGTAATCAAACCTCCACACTGAGCCTGAGTGTTGTTTGTATCATGATGACCTTGGTGACTGAATACGCCAGGCATATCAATCATCATGATCGTAACTGTCTCTCTACAATCACGTGTGAGACAAAAATTAACCAACATTCTCCACACATTCTCTGGTCCCCATTCAATCCACACTTCGATGCGGAAGAAGAAAGAGGAGGGAGGAAGAAGAAAAAGGGGTGTCTCTTACATAAATAATGAGAGCGTACCAGTATAATCTGTTTTTTTGCACGTAAAATATTTGGGGTTGTATATTTCAAGAAACCGAATGAAAAAATGTATGTTTTTAATAAAGTGAGTGGAAAAAAGAAACACGGCGTTTAGGGGAAATAGTTTTTTAGCGCTTATAATCTGTGTAGAATATGAATGAGAAAAGCAATAGAAATAAAGCGTAGACCAAACAAAAAGTTGTACTTGTAGTTGTACACTTCTAAAGGGCACATTTGTCAGATAAGTATAATCAAAGAACGTAAATAGTGTACTTCTGTTCCCACGTGATCCCGGAATGTAATAAATAAGACGTGTCGTTTCCTATCTTTGTTTTTATTTTCAAATTAACAGTAAGACTTGTCAGCAAGTCTAGAGAAGTATTGAAACGTACATTTATTTGAGCACCCCCCATCAAATTAACGGTAATGGTGTCATGTGATGGCGCTGTTCGCTGTTACTCTACTGCCCACGCTCTGTTGTATACTGTAGGCTAAGATAACCGTATGGACAACAACATACGTTGTCTATAATTCCCATGGAGGATACAATGTCAATAAAGATTACAATTACAATTACAAGAACTTGTCACAGGTCTTGCAAATTCCCGGTGTAATCGCCAAGCCACACAGCTTCGCCATTTCGACTCGCACTGATTGACGGGTACTGTAGACACATTCAAGGTCACCAGTTCTGTCACTCAATTTAATTGCTCGTTCTGTCAGTCGCGCTCAACAAGGTTGTTATGGCTGTTCCAAATATGAAACTTACTCCCATTGTAGCTGTTTTCAACAAACCAGTTTTCGCATGACTTTTACCATACTTTGTATTGTCTGCAGGAAACCTCACACTACCCCAGTAATCATCAGATCGAATTTGGATTTTTTTCTTACAGTTCATGAAAAATCTCAACAAAATTCTTAAATCGAATTTAGATCAAATCTGATAAAAATCCGATGTAGGTATATGTTTATTTTTTTTAAACTTAATAACGGCAAATAATATTCATAAATAATAATCATCAATACACAAAAATAACAATAAAAATAATAAAAAGTGCTCGTTTTTTAGCGATTTTTCTTGTTTCTGTTTAAAAATGTCCCAACATATTTCAAGATTGTATGTAATTAGTTAAAAGATACGTGCTATTATTTTTTTAAATAAAATAGAAGAATAGAAGAGAGCTTTAGTAAAAACGTCACGAAAATTTCTTTTTTCAATAAGTAAATTACAACAAGCAAAAATAAAAACAAAAACAGAAGACATATAATAGCTGATTCACATTTGAACTGTATGTACTACAGCTGACTAATAGTAACCAAGTGCATATACTATTTTGATATTTGATGTTTCAACAATGTTCTTGAACTTGTCCCTCTTATTTCTGTTTTGAAAGTCTGGGTCAGATTTGTTGTAACACGTTGTTCATTGTATTTCTATGTTCATCATACAATTTACAGTCTATAAAGATGATGTATTTCATTGCAGTGTATCTCTGTTCAATTGGTGTTTTTGGTTTTGTGTATCGACCTGTTTTGTTTATTGCTTGTATATTATTGTTGAAATTCTGGTGTTTTTTGACGCGGACTGCGAGGGAAATTGTTCCAAATATGTCAAATTCAGTATATGTCTCAGAGAGTTTTTTTGACAAACATATTTCGTACTGATTGAAAAACACGAAAAGTTGATGACATGTGTTTAAATCTATAATCATGGGAAACTTTTGAAACAAAATATTGTTATTGTGATCGTTTGCGCCTTAATTCGTCTGAGTTCGGGATTTGAACTACTGTAAAATACTTTATTTTAGCTGGAATTAATTCTCGCTGAAAACAATTTTTGGGTGTTTTGTATGGAATTTATTTTCACTGATTGTTGACGAGTTTAAATGTAAAATATAGGAAAAAATGTATATTTGCTGGATTTTATTTTAACTGAATGATTCCTTCGAAAATAGCGAAAATTAGTTGCAAGCGAAAATAAAGTATTTAACAGTATTGTATAAACATACACAATGCTTAGTGGACGCAATCAAATATTTGATCTATCGTATTCAATCCAAACATCGAAGCGAGGGCGATGACCTCAACACGACAGTCCAAGTACTTCCTGATATGATATACACAGATACTACCCGTTATAGAAATACGCATGATTGTATACACACACATTAGTGAGGGAGGGATTCCAATACATGTAACAGCCATTGAGTTGTAAGCCGTGCGCAAAAAAGTAGGGTATAAAATGTGCTTTGCTGCGAGTAGTAGTTCTATTTACGATCATCACTGGAGACGTATCGCTGACTCTGTGACTTCACCATCGTCATGTCAAACCAGGCAAAGAAGGTAAAGATGGTAGGTGACTGTTCTCAGTCGCTTGTCGCCTGCATGTATTGCTTGCTCTGCATTACACATGTCATCCGGTGAATATCACACGGTAATGACGATGTCAACGCGTTCAGTAAAATTCAAGTTTGTGCCAAAATACTACTGTAAAAGAAGTTATTTTCACTGGAATTTAATCATATTAACTTAGTTTTAAATTCGCGGATTGCCAATGAAACATTGATTTCTAATATAATTGTATTTGTACATATTCACGTGGATTTCATCTTGCGGATTTTACTTATTTCTGCATAAATAGCGAAATTAAAAATTCGTTTACTGTAGGCCATCGCACTTGCTTACTTTTTGCGCGCGTGTGCGTGCGCAGTGACCGGTAAGAACCGGTCGTTCGCTGCTGTTGTTAAGCTGCCGGCGTTTTTCGCTGCTGTTAAATATGCATGCATGTATTTAGTTTGTAATAAAACAACTTGCGAGCTAGGGCTGTTGGCGACATTTGTTATTTCGCATTCGCACGCCGGCTTGCAAAATTGTAAACATGTGACGTCACTAGTGCGACGGCCTGCCTGAAAACTTCCAACTATCTGAACAATGTTCTAGAAGTTAGTATGCAATATAAATAAATAAATAAAATGTTATTTCTAACAGCGGCGATGGCTTCGCCCACAGTTGAATATTTTAGAACAGATTAATTCCAGCTACTGGTTGTTCACGTTAATCATCTCATAGGCGGACGTGCTTGTATAGTCATTGTGTGTGTTAGCGTCAGGTTTTGCAAGATTATGCTTTTCTGTCACAATTTATTTTCGTTGAACCACAGGTAGCTTGTTACAAAAATTTGTAGTAGGCGTTCGACGGGGTGGGGTTGGGTGGTAGCAAGATTGTATTATTCATCATGCAAAATTAAAATAAACACTAAAACAAACAATACCTCTGATAGACTGATTTTTAAAATATGTCAGTTTTTGCACTTTATTTTTGTTTTTTTCTAGTTTTTGAATTAATTTTACTTAGATATTGTATGAGAAATCAATATTAAAATGAATCTTATTTGAAAAAACAATGATTGCATATTGGCCCACTTATGTGCTCAGTAGTGCTTAGTTATTTTTGCAAATAGTTTCTATGGTAAAGTATTCATGTAACCATTTTGCTCATAGATACAGATGGACAAATTCATTTTAATGTTCATATGAATGGTACATTAATACAAATTGATGAAAAAATGATATTAATATTTTGTTATTATTCATTAAGTTAAATCTCCCCACAATGCATTGCACATGTGCTGGTCAATTTTCTTCCATTCATCACATGAGATTTCACAATGAACGAAAAATCACATATTTTAATTTGCCTCATATGAAAAGCCATCAATTTGTTCACCATCATTTCTCTGATACAAATTTGATAAATTATTGTTCACAGATGGCTGTCTAGCAGCCATTTTAGTAGTAACAGACTCATCCCTAAAATTGGCCTTTCTAGAACTGCTTGGATTTTGGGCTTAAGATTTTCTAATTTTATTCAAATCTTGGCACATGGTTTACACTTGATAAAGCACCAATGCATGCTGTCGTTCCATGAAATTCAAAAAATTATAACTTAGTCAAAGTTGGCTGCTTTTTCAGAGCCAGGTCTTGAGGGTTGAACATGTCCATGAATTTGCAATAACCTTAGCATAAATATAGGTCAACATTGATACATTTCTGTTTTCTATTTTAAGTTTGAAAGTCACTATTAAGCTAAGTCAATGTGTTTGACTTGTTTTGTTTTTTTCATAATTATAGGATGAAAAGCCAAAAGGAATTTTGGAACGTTTGAATGCTGGTGAAATAATTGTTGGTGATGGTGGGTTTGTGTTTGCACTTGAGAAGAGAGGATATGTGAAGGCAGGACCATGGACACCAGAGGCCACGGTGGAGAACCCAGAAGCAGGTAAATAACCAGAGATTAATTCAGTACATGTATTAATATATGAAAAAAATTGATATTAATTTTTTCCCTCCTAAATGTTAGCCAGTTATTTTCTGTGCATAATTTTTAGATATATTATAACATTGGTTCAGAATTTTTGACTCCCATGTGCGAAGCACAAAATGGGAGTCTTTGCAGTTAGTGTGTCTGTATGTGTGTATGTGTGTATGTGTGTGTGTGTGTGTGTGTGTGTATGTGTGTATGTGTGTCCGACTGTTCCACTGCTATCTCAAGAACCATACATCGGTTTTTGATGAAACTTGGTGCATAGATGCTCTGGGCCAATGCGCAGATTTGATTAGGTTTTGGTAAAAATCCATGCTCGTTAATTACCTAATTTGCATGATAATTAGCTAATTTTTAGCTGTTCTATGACTGTTCCACTGATATCTAAAGAACCACTCATTGGATTTTGATGAAACTTGGTACATAGATGCTCTGAACATATGCGCAGATTTGATTAATTTTTGGTAAAAATCCGTGCATATTAATTACCTAATTTACATGATAATTAGCTATTTTTTAGTGGTTCCATGACTGTTCCACTGATATCTAAACAACCACTCATTGGATTTTGATGAAACTTGGTACATAGATGCTCTGAACTAATGCTAGGTTTTGATTAGTTTTTGGTAATAATCCGTGGATACTAATTACCTAATTTGCATAATGATTAGTCAATTTTCGGTTTTTCCACTGATATCTCAGTACTAATCATCACATTTCAAATGAAACTTGGTGCATAGATGTCATACGACACTGCACAGACCT